CTATTTGTAAAGCCTCATCAGAAAGCCATTTTGCTTTCTTGCATTTCTTTTTCTTTGGTATGGTGGTGATTGCTGCCTCCTGTACGATGTCACGAACCTCTGTCCATAGTTCTTCAGGCACTCTATCTATCAAATCCAGACCCTTGAATCTATTCTTCACCTCTACTGTATATTCATCAGGGATGCGATCTAGGTCAAACCTGAATGGCCTCGTGGTTTTCCCAATTTTCTTCAGTTTAAGTCTGAATTTTGCAATGAGTAGCTCATGATCTGAACCACAGTCAGCTCCAGGTCTTGTTTTTACTGACTGGATAGAGCTTCTCCATCTTTGACTGCAAATTATATAGTCAATCTGATTTCGGTGTTGCCCATCTGGTGATGTCCATGTGTAGAGTCGCCTCTTAGGTTGTTGGAAAAGGGTGTTCGCTATGACCAGTGTGTTCTCTTGACAAAACTCTGTTAACCTTTGCCCTGCTTCATTTTGCTTTCCAAGGCCAAACTTGTCTGTTATTCCGGTTACCTTTTGACTTCCTACTTTAGCATTCCAGTCCCCTATGATGATGAGGACATCATTTTTTGGTGTTAGTTCTAGGAGGTGTTGTAGGTCTTCATAGAACCGGTCCACTTCAGCCTCTTCTGCATCAGTGGTTGGGGCATAGACTTGGATTACTGTGATGTTGAATGGTTTGCCTTGGAATCGGACAGAAATCATTCTGTCATTTTTGAGATTGTATCCCAGTACTGCCTTTTGCACTCTCTTGTTACTATAAAGGCCACACCATTTTTTTCTACGAGATTCCTGGCCACAGTAGTAGATATAATGGTCTTCTGAGTTAAATTCGCCCATTCCTGTCCACTTTAGTTCACTGATTCCTAAGATATCGATGTTCAGTCTTGCCATCTCATTTTTGACCACATCAAGCTTGCCTTGATTCATAGATCTTACATTCCATGTTCCTATGCAGTATTGTTCTTTGCAGCATCGGACTTTCCTTTCACCATCAGACACATCCACAACTGAGCATCCTTTCGGCTTTGGTCCAGCTGCTTCACTCTTTCTGGGGTTACTTGTACTTGCCCTCTGCTCTTCCTCAGGAGCATATTGGACACCTTCCGACCTGAGGGGCTCATCTTCCGGCGTCATATCTTTTAGCTTTTTGATACTGTCCATGGGGTTTTCTTGGCAAACATACTGGAGTGGGTTGCCATTACCTTCTCCAGGGGATCACGCTTGGTCTGAGTTCTCTGCTGTGGCCTGTCCGTCTTGGGTGGCCCTTCACGGCATAGCCCACAGCTTCACTGAACTACACAAGCCCCCTCGCCACGACAAGGCAGTGATCCATGAGTGATCCATGCAGAAATGCAAAAAATCGTGAAGTGTAAATTTAAAAAAGAACCTGAAATTCTTCTTCTGGGACTAAAAATGGAAGAAGTTAATATGGCTAAAAGAACATTGATGTGGTATATGATTACTGCTGCTAGAATGACTTATGCCCAATGTTGGAAAGAAGACCAAGTCCCGGAAGTGAAAGACTGGATTAGAAAATTATTACACATGGTAGAAATGGATAAGATGACGCGAAAATTAAACGACATGGAAGCAGAAGATTTCTTTGAGGACTGGAATGATTTGAAAGAATATTTGGAAAAAAGTGGAGAAGCAAAAGGTATTATATTTTGTTTTGATACTTATTGAAAATGTAATGAAGTGATTGTACATGATAGTAATTGTTACCTGTTGAAAGTACATGAGAGAATATATAGAATAACATCTAAGCAATGTGCAGGAGGTCGGAGCACTGCGGGAAGCCTTTTGTAGGGGAAAGGGAGGGGGTAGGATATTGGATAATTATAAGTGTGTGAATTAAAAATGAATGTGAATGAATATATCCTAATAAAAATTGGGTTTTTTTAAAAAAAAACAACCAAATTGTTGTTAACTGTATGCCCCGCCACATGTCTCCTTGATCCGTGCCCATTGTGGCTAGTTAAAGCTGGTCGCGATGGGTTCCGACATGTCCTAAGGGAGATTATCAACAAGTCCCTCTTGGAGAGTCAGTTCCCTGGGACACTTATGGAGGTCGTGGTTCATCCCCTCTTGAAAAAACAATCTCTGGACCCAGTCGAATTGGCTAACTACTGGCCAATTTCCAACTTGCCCTACTTTGGCAAGTTAATCAAGAGGGTGGTGACAATCCAGTTACAGAGCTTTCGAAACTGGGCTCCAGCCGAGCGAGGAATCGAGAAGCGGCGGCAACATGGCGGCGAACAGCACGGAGGTGAAGAAGAGAGGCAGCGACATCCCAAGGTGGCAGTTGGCTCGGCAGCTGATGACGTGGCCAGCAGGAGGACGTCCGGAGCCGCAAAGGATGTTGTGACGCCCACCGCAGCTGTGCACCAGGGCCCATAACCAACAGCCCCCGAGAGGAGTCGCCAGAGAGTTGGAGAAGAACAGTGGAGACCGCGGAAGCCGCACCGGAGAGAGCTGGAAGAAGTCGCTCACTCGCCGGATAAATAACGAACTATCGGAGCCTGAAGGGTACCTGGTAGGGCCCCACCCCCAGACTTACTGTAGCCATAGTTAGGGTTTCTGCATAGGTCTCTGCACCATGCACCGTGTAAGCCGCTCAGAGCCCTTCGGGGGTGAGCGGGGTACAAATTGAAAGTATAAATAAATAAATAAATAAATAAATAAATATTGTATGATGCTTCCACCTTAGATCCCTTCCAGTCTGGTTTTCCCACGGGACAAAGACAGCACTGGTTGCCCTCACAGACAACCTCCGGAGGCACCTGGATTGAGGCGGATCGGCAGTGCTGTTGTTGTTGGACCTGTTGGCAGTGTTTGACACAGTCAACCATCAGCTACTGATCCACTGCCTTGCTGTCTCTGGAAAATGTGGACTGGGTGTTACAAACCGTGTCTGGTTGGCTTAGACTGAGTCAACTGAAACTGAATCTAACAAAGACAGAGGTCCTGTGTCTGAGCTGGGGTAGCCCAAGGGTAGGGATCCCACTCCAAACCTTCAATGGGGCGCAATTGGTGCCAGTGCCAGAGGTTAGGAGTTTGTGAGTGCTCCTGGATGCCTTTTTAACAATGAAGGACCAGGTAGCAGCCACCACCAAGTCAGCCTTCTATTATCTTTAGCTAATTAGGCAGTTGGTTCCCTTTCTTGAACGCAGCGACTTGGCAACAGTGATCCATGCGATGGTCCCCTCGAGATTGGACTACTGTAATGCTCTCTACATGGGGCTACCCTTGTTTCAAATCCGGAAGCTGCAGCTAGTGCAGAATGCCTCGGACAGGCTGTTAATGGGTCTCTCTACACAGGACTACATCCAACCTGTGCTAAAAGTACTGCACTAGCTGCTTCAAGGTGCTGGTTTTGACCTATAAAGCCCTTTATGGTCAGGGTCCAGCATACCTAAGGGACCGCCTTTCCCCATATGTTCCCCAGAAAGCACTGCCTTCAGGGGCCCAAAACCGGCTGGCCCTCCCAGGCCCTAAAGCAGGGGTGTCAAACATGTGGCCCGGGGGCCAGATCAGGCCCTCGGAGAGCTGTAATCCAGGCCGCAAGGCCCTGGCTGTTTCCTGCTTCCTTTTCTAGTTCTGCTGCTGCAATAACTCAGAACAAGAGGTGTCAGTTATCAGAGACTGTTAAATGGACAAAATATTGCAAGAGTGCTAGTGTTTTAAGCATGTTTTATTTAAAGTTTAAAAAAATCTTTCATTATATCTCTGATACCTGGCATTACATTTTATGACACACATGGCCCGGTTCAACAAGGTCTCATTTATGTCAGATCCGGCCCTTATAACAAATGAGTTTCAGGGCTCTTTTTGTAGCAGGAACTCCTTTGCATATTAGGCGACACACCCCTAATGTAGCCAATCCTCCAAGAGCTTGCAGAGCTCTTCTTACAGGGGCTACTGTAAACTCTTGGAGGATTGGCTACATTAGGGGTGTGTCCAGGGGTCATTTCGTAGAAAAAGAGCTAGGGGGACTCATTAGCATAACTCATTAGCATATGCCACACCCCCTGACATCACCGGAAGTGTGTCCTCCCCACAGCCGGTGGCGACCTCCAGCGGGCACCAGCAGGGAGCTCCAGGCCCCGCCCTCCCGCACCTCACCCGGGGGGATGGCGTCCCCCCGCGTCCCCCCCCAAATGACCCCTGGGTGTGTCACCTAATATGCAAAGTAGCTCCTGCTACAAAAAGAGTCCTGAGTTTGACACCCCTGCTCCAAAGATACCAGGCTGGCAGTAACCAGGGCCAGGCCTTCTCAGTGGTGGCTCCATACTGGTGGAATGAGCTCCTGGAGGAGATCAGGGCCCTGCGGGACATCTTACAATTCCACAGGGCCTGCAAGACAAAGCTCTTCCACCAGGCCTTCAACTAGAAGCCGCACTAAACACCTGAGGAGTGACCCTGTGCCGTGGCCCACAACTCACAGCCTGTGCTCACCACATAAATAAATTGATCAACCGAGCTGATGTGAGTATACCACCATGACTACCACCTAAGTAACACTGTTTGACTTGAAACCTCTGCTCTTGCGCTTTACTTGAATACTGTTCCAGCACTTTAGGATAACTACTATTTAATTTGTCATGATGTTTTATGGATGATTTTAACTGTATTTATATGCATTTTATGTAAGCCGCCCTGAGCCTGCTTCGACGAAGAGGGCAGGGTATAAATTGAATGAATAAATAAATAAGAATAAAATATTCATCTGTTTATAAGAAAGAGCTGAAGTGTATTAAGTTTACAAATAAAACCATGGACCAGTACCTAGATAAATGTGGTTTTTAAACTGCATGTTCGGGTATAAGTGTGTTGAATGTAGCATGAGATTTACTCAACACATGTATAATGAACAAACAACCCGAACTGCACATGTGTTTATTGTAACTGTGAATGGGCCTATTGTTATGTGTATGCACCCCATCATCATACATTTTATGGTTGTTTTACATTGTTCTAGATATCTTACCTCATCATCATACAGATCTTCTTTTAGATGTAGAAGTTTTTTCAACGCAGCAGCAACGTATCTCTTCCGCTTACAGATGAAATCCTGCTCCTCTGCACATAGATCATATCCCAAGCGCACATCTAGGTCCTTCTGACTAGATGACAAAAACCTCTATCATAAACCTGAACATCTGAATACACATTGCATCAACTTTGTGAGTTAAATAATTTCCAGAAAGTGTAAAATATATTGCAACATATTTTGTAAATGTGAACACACGGCAATAATAAAATGTGAGCATAGCCACACAAAAATGCCAGAATAGTGCAGTAGACAGGGATTGTTTTTTTAATTTAAGAGGCCTGGCTTAGAGGTCCTCTGCTAAGGACTCTGTGAATTACTTTTGAAGAGTAGCCATGTTGGCCTGCAGTAGACCAGCTAGATTCGAGTTCAGTAGCACTTTACAGACCAATGTGATTTTCTGGTTATAAACTATCGAGAGTCCAAGCTTGCTCCATTCATAGATAACAGTTGGAATAGAGATCAGATCCCAATCAGAAAGTGAAGAATTCATTCACAAATTCAGAACACTGGATTCCCCCTCCCCCCAGTGCTGAATGGGGACATAAGAATCTTATCACACTACATATGTTAATTTTCTGCACCCAAGCATTTCCCCTCTGCGCTAATCAAGCTGATTACAATGCCCATTATAACTCTGTATCCCAAGTTCCACTTTGCAACACCTTCTGACTGGGATATAAAGGCTCAGAGATCTCTATTCCAACTCCTATCTGACGAAGGGAGCTTGCACGCTCGAAAGCTTGTACCCCAAAAATCTTGTTGATCTCTAAGGGGCTGCTGGACCTGAAGTGAATCTGGAATTTGTGTGAATTTGGAAACTGGAATTTTTGCCAAATCTAGATATTTTCAAATATTTCCTCTTGTCTGAAGCCATTTATATTTCTCCCACACTATCCCTTGTACTTTGGCAGTAGATGAGCTCCTGGCCAAGGACTGCAAGAAAAGGGATGAGGGTGAAAGGTCCCCTCCAGCCTGCAAGGGGAGGAAATGCACCATGCTAATCATTTGCTGACCTGAACTGAATGGTCCGTGCTAGCCTGATCTTGGCTGGTAAGCAGGGTCAGGCCCTGCTTAGTACTTGGATGGGAGACCACCAAGGATGTCCAGGATTGCTATACTGGGGCAGGCAATGGCAAAGCCACCTCTGAACATCTCTTGCCTTGAATATCCTACATACGTCAGCTGTGACTTGATGGCAATTTCCACCACCAATCATTTGCTATTTTTAAAATGATTACTGAGAACACATTTTCTCAAGCAATTAAGATGTGGATAAAGTGAAGTTTGAACTTGAGCAGCAAAGCCATCAGGATAAACATATATGAAGAAAAATGTTTACCAGTTTTCTGGTGTCACAAATATATCATAAGCTTTGTCCTAAAAAAATAAAAATAAAAAGGATTGTCATTATTACTGATGAACTCCAACTCATTTCTAACAGTGCATCATCTACCAAATAATTTTTCCTCTGTTCCCTTATTTGTCCTAGAGCTGATTTACACTTTTCTTAATTTTAAATTTAATTTATTGTACTCCAGACAAAAAGAACATATACACGCTTATGGTGGTCTTACATTATATATAAAACAAATTATAACTACAATGGTGTTTAGTCTACATATAAGCATCTGTAAAATATTTCCAGATATCTAAAAATATGACCATGCATAGTTCTCATCTATTTGCCATACAGTCAAATGCCCGTAAGGTTATAAACTCCTCAACCCATTGGATTACCGGAGGTTGGCATTTCTCTCTCCAATTCTGTAATATAAGTCTTTTAGCAGCAGTATGGGCACAACTGGTCAGCTTTCACTGACCATCAGTTAGTCTTCAGGAGACAGTAAAATAGTTTAAAAGTACATAAGCATCCTCAAAGATCAATTAATATCTTAACACAAAATTGATATGAATAATTACTTCCTCCCAAAAAGACCAAATAACTGGACAAGCCCAGAACATATGTTTAAGAGATGTATCTTGTGAATTACTCCACCAGCAATTAGACACTTTACTTAATCATTGGCTAAAAAGGCATTGTGGTGTCCGGTATGTCCTAAACATAATTTTTTTGCCAAATGTTGCAGTTTAAAGTCCATAGGAACAACACATATAGACTTTAGGGCCATATTTTGTTGCTTTGGCAAAACAGTGATCTAGCTCCTTCTTCCATTCATTTCTGAGACTTTGCATCTATCAAATATCAAATATTTATAGACAAATATTGTAGGTTTCATTTTCTACATTGTTCAATGAAAGTTTCCAAGAGAAAGGGAGATTCTGAAACACTGAGCTAATTTCCATTATACAAAGTCCCTATGGCTGCCATAAAGAGCCACACAGATACATGTAGACCAAATTCAGATTGCAGTTGAGGAGTATGGGTAGAAGTGGCTTCAGCTTCCATACTCTTTTCGAATCCTGAAATGGCCTCAGGAGGGCACTATTTGCTCCAGTGGGGAAATGTACACATAGCCAGTTACACATAACCTTTCCCACCAAAAAAAGTAACAGTTCCCCAGTGTCATTTCAAGATTAAAAAAACAACATGCAGGGAGGGGCAGATTGACGCTGCCTTAACCTGTGCTCTGTGGTTGCAATTAGAATTGGAGGCACATGTGTCTTGGAGACACTGAACTCCCATTGCACCTTTGATTCAGAATCCTTGAGGCTTGGGAACTGGCCCCAGTTTCAGAACAACCATCACTTATAAGATGAATTTTCTCAGTGGGATGATTTGTTATTTATCAGACTAATGTCCCTACCACTCAGCTTACAGTAAGGAGGTCTGATTTAGAAACTATGGCATTTGATATCTTATTTAAAGTAGCAATGCGGGAGACCATATATCAGATTAATGACAGATTATTAGGGATAATTCAACATGTACATGGTTGGATCCCATAAACCATCACTGGAAGGTGCCAGTGGTCACTAATCTTCCCCTATTCCACTTCCCCCAGCAAGGAACCTTTGCCTCTGGGGAAGGTGATTCCAAGGACTTCAGGATTCACATTGACTAATAACCTCATAGGTTGGAGGGCTGAAATGAAGAGTGGGAACAGGGTGTTTTATCAACTTTTCTCTGACAAAGTGAACTGGAAAATTTCGTTGGTCTTTAAAGTACTACAAGACTCAATTTTTTAATCAGTTTTTAGAAAATATTGTAATATATTGTTATGGCAATTTCAATCATTTTTATGTTATGTATACAATTTTGAGCACTGCTATCTAACAGCTGAAAAGGGGTTGAGAAATGCTAAATACACAGAGGGTTTGGGGAGCTGTTTGTTTGTTTGCATCCAGGACTCACATGTGCTATTCTTACTCTCTCTCCCGTGGTTAGTCGATTCAAAGGTACAGTCATAGAATCCTTTATTCCCTTATTTGAGGAACACTAAAGAAGGAAAAAGAAATTATTATAATAGAACAAATTAAAACCAAAGGTAGATTACCTCTGCTGGATGTTGATTTGCCCTCCCCACATTACTAGTGGAAAGGAATGACCAGCAGCAGCAGAGATATTATATAAAAGACACAAATTACATAAACCTTTGCAAAACTTCCCAGTTTGTATAATATATTATAATTACAGGTAATGATCCCAGATCCAGTAAAAGATAGTTGTAATTATGGTCCATTCAAAGCAATAAAGTTTAAGTTAGTCCATAATATTTGTTCATTCCATTAGTTTCAGTGACACTTAGCCATGACCAATTGCGCTGGGATCTTTGAGTTCCACATTGGCTGACAGATGATGGGTGAAGAGCATATTATTTTTGGCAGGAAAAATTCATTGCATTCTATCTCTGCAGGTTTGCTGCCCACACATGAAGTCTCTTAACTACAAAGAAATATGCCATTCTGAGCATGCCAACTTACATTAAATTGAAACCAAAACCCATCTTTATGCCTTCTGTGGAGAAATGCATTTTATTTTGGGGGTTGGGTTGGACACAACCCCACAATTCAGCTTTTAAATATTTTTCTCTTCTAGCAGAAGTCGGGCAGGAAGAGAGAAGTAAAGTACCTTCAAGTATTTCCCAAGTACCAACCATCCAGACACTGCAAATGTTATTCTGGCCAGAGACAATGAAATGGTTAGCTCACACCTTAGCTGGAATCTGCCACCCAGAAGTTGGCACAGAAACTTGGGAGTGCAAGGGGCTAGATTGTATCTTCCTGGAGATTTCAAGCAAGGGTTCTTTGACCCACAAGAGGGTGAGGAAACAGAGGAGATAAAATTCCTTGCCATAGAGGGACAGAGGGATCCATTTTTGGCAGATATATTCTAGCTGGATACATGTGGGAAAAGGAGCTCTTACACCTGAGCTTCATCTTAATGGCTGCCATAGTCACACAGAGCAGACAAAAGGCTGCTGGCCAGGACAATGACTCCAAGGTAATAGGAAACTTTCAGAAAATTGCAGCCTCTAAGTTAAGGAGCCTCCCTTAGAATAATACCACCTAGGACACATGCAGAGTGAGGGACAGGGAAATGCTTTTATATTCCTCTGCTGCTTGTAAATGCTATTTAAAATGGGCACTGATAAAAGGGAGGCAGTCAGTTGCTAAACGGTTATTTCCCCAGGAGTGCACAAGTATACTAAGCCATCCCTATGGTAACCAATTGCCAGATAGTGGGAGACATAGGCACTAGGTGGAGCTGTAGAACAGCAAAGTGGGAAGGGAAGCTTGGAACACTGGCCCTCTTTGCAGGTAATTCATCAATAGGTGAGTTGGTGGCAGCACACCAAAAAAGATGAGTAGGCAAAACCCCTCCAAGATTCAGGCAAGATGGGAGAGGAGTGCTTTGCTGGGTGGAGGCTCCAGACAGTCACTGTGTGCTTGGGCACCTCAAAGGGCTGAATGGACCAGCACTCATGGCTCAGTGGGGCTGTTCCACCACTTCTTCATAGGTGACCTAAAGATGAAGTTTTCAGCAGATATGACATGGAAGGATGAAGAGTCTTTAGGGGTTTTCAAGCTCCTATGCGACATCATGTCCCCCACCTGTGGTTTTTATTGCAGCCCAGTTACCTTCAGTTTCTGATCTCCATTGCTTTTTTCATTTTCTACTTCTCTTGTCCTTACACAGAAATTCCAAATTCCTTGAAAATCTGGCTCGTGGAAGCAGAAATATTTCTCCCAAGAAAACACATGGCCTGGAATGTGGGTGATCAGATACTTACACATGAAGAAATGGAATTCTTTGGCAGCAGAATTTCCATTTGGGGATGACAGTACTTGGTATAATGGAACACAGTAGAAACTGGGGATCGTGAATGTAGTACAATGTCCTGAGTGTCTTCACCAGACCCTTTCACTTTAAATGTGAAATATCGCTCTGAGTACCGGGGGAGAAAAGAGCAGCATTTTAATATTGATCTCTCCAGATGGGCATCTTTATATTATGCCATTCAAACAGAGTTTAAAGCAGAGGCTCCAAGAGGGGGCAGTACCGCCCCTGGAGCAGTGAGATTACTTACAGGGATGCTAAGAGGCTACGGAGTGGTGATGGAGGTGGGCCCCTTCAAATGCACTGTTCACTTACTTACAATTGAGGGTGCCTTTAAAGATATATTAGTATATTATAGTGGTATGTGTTATGTTATCCCCTTCTACCATTACAAAAATCTTGTAAGGTAGGTTAGGCCAAAAATGAGAGCTACTTGCCCAAGGCCACCCCAATCATTTTAATTGGGTCAAGACTAGGTTGGTAGCCAGTGTAAAAGCTGTAATATCAGGGTCATATGCTCCAGATAGCTGGCCCCAGTCAGCAGTCTAGGAGCAACGTTCTGCACAAGCTGCAGTCTCGGAACACACACACACACATTTTAAAAATATACTGATAATAAAATATAAAGAAAATACATGAAGAAATTGAATTCTTTGGCATAAACAAAGAATAAATATTTCTCCCCAACACCTCCTTCATTACATTAAAGGATTTTTGAAACACTGTCTATGAGGTATAATAAAAATAACTTCTGTGGGGATACATTTATATTAAATATTTTACATTTAAAACTACTTCTCACACTACATCTTCACGGTAATATATTTATATACCATATTTTATATACCTCCAAACATTCTTCAAGGGTAGCTCCAAGTAGAGCACATTGCAGTAGTACTGTCTAGATGTATGTTTATGGCTCTGGTCAGAGGAACACAAGCACTTTTAGCTAACACCTCAGCCACAGAATCCCACATGAAGAAAGTCAAACAAGAGCTTATAAAATCTCTGGATTTGGAGAAGAAGTTCCTTTCTTCAAATCTACTCTGTTGTGCACTTTTTTAAAACTATTTTTGTGAGGGTGTGTGTGTGCACGCACGCACACGCTTGCAAGCCTGGAAGTCGTGATGACTTCTGGTGACCCCTAGCGGGGCTAGGACATTTTATAGAGGTGGCTTCATAACCTGCCTCTGCATCCCAGCCCAGATATTCCTTGGAGGTCACCCTTCCAAGTACTTGCCAGGGTAAGGCCTGCTTAGCTTCTGAGATCTGACAAGACCAGACTTTACTCTGTTGTGCTCTTAAACTCTGTCCAATTAACATGAGGGATTAAGCCATGGATGCCATCTTGAGCACATATTACTGAAACAAGGGAAAGAAGCCCCCGAGAAAATAAGGTAATGAACAGAAGTCATTTCATAGAAAAAGAGGTGCAGGAGCTCATTTGCATAACTCATTTGCATATGCCACACCCCCTGACACGGGGCAGGCATGCAAGCATGCCTTTCTCTCCCTTCCCCATCTGGGGAAGGGAAAGAAAGGCATTTAAGTCCCCTCCCTCCACTGAATTTCTCCACAAAAGTGGAGAGGCTCACGGGAAAGGGGTGCATGTCTGCCTGCCTCCCCTCCCCTTCTCCAGCTAGCCCACCGTGGCAGGCTGGCTGGAGGAGGGGAGGGGAGGGAGGCAGTCATGCCTGGGTTCCCTGTCCGATGTTCTCCAGGTGCCCTGCAGCTGTGTAGCACCTAGAGAACATCAGGCAAGGAACCTGGGCATTTAAATCTCCCTGCTTCCCCCAAGTCTCTCCGCAGAAGCGGGGAGGCTCAGGGGAAATGGGGGGCATTGTCTGCCCACCTCCCCTCCCCTTCTCCAGCTATCCCACCATGGCAGGCTGCCTGGAGGAGGGGAGGGCAGGCATGCAAGCATGCCTGGGTCCCCTGCCCGATGTTCTCCAGGTGCCGTATGGCTGCGGGGCACCTAGAGAACATCGGGCAGGGAAACCAGGCATTTAAATCCCCCCTTCCCCAAGTCTCTTGGCAGAAGCGGAGAGGCTCACAGGAAAGCCTCTTGGCAGAAGCGGAGAGGCTCACAGGAAAGGGGGGCATGTCTGCCCACCTCCCCTCCCCTTCTCCAGCTAGCCCGCTGTGGTGAGCTGGCTGGAGGAGGGGAGGGCAGGGAGGCAGACATGCCTGGGTTCCTTGCCTGATGTTCTCCAGGTGCCCCGTGGCTGCGGGGCACCTAGAGAACATCGGGCAGGGAACTCAGGCATTTAAGTCCCCCCCTTTCCCCGAGTCTCTCCGCAGAGCGGAGAGGCTCAGGGGAAAGGCGGTGGGGGGCTCTGCAGGGCTTCCCTGGCCCATATGCCTACGCAGGCAGGCCAGGAATGGCGGGGGGGCACTCCAGGCTTCTTTCTGCTGGATTCCCGCTCTGCCACGCTCCAGCAGGAAACGACCCCTGGTGATGAATGATTTAAGATGCTGTAACTCCAAGGAAGAGGGGCTTATTCTAAATTTACCATGATTAGCATATGTTCAGAAGCAGGGAAAGATGATTTCTGATTATATTGCTTTTAATTTTAGTCTTGCTCAGTTTGCTGTATCAATAGACCATGTGTGCTTTGATAACTTTATTAAACTTCTTTATCAGTTGAATGTTGGTAGCTGATCTCTGAGCCTATACAATACCTACTTCATTCGTTCTCATCCAGGAGAAGAAAGGGGAGGGACAGCTGTAGATCCCTTCATCCCTGAAGTGTGCAAGCAAGTCCCTGTTGTAGCTGATGAGTGTGAGGCAGGAGACAAGGTGAAGAGACAAACCCTTTACAAGACACTGTAGTAAAGAGTGCTGAAGTGCTAGTCCAGCAGTGGCAGTGGAAATATCCAGAGAGAGGTAACCTGGGGTAAGGGAAGGTGGATCTCTCCAAACTTCCATGTGGACAAAGACATGGTTGGCAAGAGCAGCTTTCCCCCCCACACACACACACATACAATAAGGAAGCCACATATAAATAATAAATCTTACTTTGCCTTGTCTTCCTCCTTCGTCTTCCACACACTTCTACTTTTAAACAGCAAAGTTCCCGAGACTGCAAAAGAAAAAGAAAAAACCTGGTGCCCTTCAGCTTTTCACAGATGAAAATAGGTCACATTTGTGTGCTTGAAACTGTTACATCTCTGTTCTCACACTAATGTTCTCCAGCATCAACAAATTGCCAGGAGCTTTTCTCTAAATGCAAAACACTGTATATTCATTTACTCAGCAAAAGCCAGTTCTGCACTGGTTGAAAAGCAAAGTGTGCTTAGTCTTTTGGGTAAAGAAATACTATACTTTACTTGACTACTAGAAGAACATAGTTGCCCTCAACTCCAAAAGGTCAAAATAAACATTTCCAGCGAGGTGATAGACTCTTTGCTACATGGCTCATTAGTGTTCATGAGCATGCAAGTATATGCACAGGTACTCACTAGAGTACCCACGCAAGCCAAGTGATGCTCAAAATTTTACAACAAAGACTCTTACCATATACGAAGCAAGAGACACGGATGTTCAGGCTGGATTCAAAAAAACAAAGAGGCACGAGAGATCATATTGCAAATTTACATTGGTTACTGATGCATACAAGAGAATTTCAGAAGAAAATCAGCTTGTGTTTTATAGATTATAGTAAAGCTTTTGACTGTGGATCATGAAAAGCTATGGATGCTTTGTAAATAATGGGTGTGCCATGACATCTGATGTGTAATCTGTACTCCGGATGAGAGGCTACTGTTAGGACAGCATGTGGGGAAATAGAATGGTTTCTATTTCGGCAAAGATGTCATACAAGGATCTATATTATCTCCCTGTTTATTCAATCTATATGTACAACTAATCATAACAAAAACTAGAATAAATTTAGATTAAAGTGGAGTGAAAACTGGTGGAAGGAATATTTACAGTTTGAGATATACAAATGATACCACAGTACTGACAGAAAATATTTGAAATGACTACTTATGAAGTTTAAAGGAGAAAGTGCAACACAGGAGGACAACAATAGTGGCTACTGAGGAATTACACAATTTTAAGGTTAATGATGAAGAAACTGAAATTAACGTTTTTCTATTCCTTGGCTCTCTCATCAACCAAAAGGGAGACTTCAACCAAGAAATGAAAAGGAGATTGAATCTGGGAAGGGGAGCCATGAAGGAACTAGAAAAGATCCTTAAGTGAAAGGAAGTGTCTCAGGAGACCAAGATCAAGACAATTCAGGGTATGGCCTTCTCCTATGGATATGAAAGTTGGACAGTGAAGAAAACTGATTCATTTGAAACATGGTGTTGGGGGAGAGTTTTATGAACTGCCAAAAAGACAAGTAAGTGAATTCTAGATAAAATCAAGCCTGAAATCTCACTAGAAGCTAAAATTACTAAAGTGAGGCTACTGTACTTTGGTTATATCATGAAAATACAAGACAATAATGCTAGGAAAAGACAATAATGCTAGGAAAAGTTGAAGGCAGTAGGAAAAGCGGAAGATCCAAGATGGATTGCCTCAATATAGGCAGTCAAGGTTTGCAAGAGCTGAGCAAAGCCTTTTAATGATAGGACATTTTGGAGATCATTAATTCATAGCATCACCATAAGCTTTAATTAATTTATTTAATTCATTTGTATCCTGCCTTTCTCCCTAATGGGGATCCAAAGCTGCTTACATAATTCTCCTTTCCAGAGCCAGTGGAGGAGTGGGGAATCAGAGTGGTGGACTCTAATCTGGAGAACTGGGTTTGATTCCCCACTCCTCCACATGAAGACAGCTGGGTGACCTTGGGCTGGTCACAGTTCTCTCAGACCCCTCTCAGTCCCATCTACCTCACAGGGGGTGTGTTGTGGGTAGAGGAAGGGAAGGCGATTGTAAGCCACTCCAAAACTATTTCAGGTAGTGAAAGGCAGGGTATAAAACCAACTCTATTTCTTCCTCCATTTTATCATCACAACAACACGGTGAGGTAGGTTAGACTGAGAGAGTGTGACTGTCCAAACATCACCCAACAAGCCTCCATAGCAAGTGTGGGGAGTCAAACCCAGGTATCCCAGATACTAGTCCAACACTCTTAACCACTACACCATACTGGATCTCAAAAAGCAGATCAAGGAAGCAACCTGACAGCACATAACATACACACTCACTAGAGACAAGATGCTATATCCTCTATTCAAATATTTAACCTAGGGATGAAGCTAAAGGCTCTCAAGCACCTCTAGCAATTCACGTTGGTCGAAAAAATAATAATTAAAGTCATCCCCCAGAGATGCCAGAAAGTATCAGTGATGGTCACTAGTAAAAAGGGACCACTGAAGCATCTGCAATTGCTGACAGTAATGGATTGTGGGGCCCAATGCACTCTGATTGCATACTACTACATCTGTTTCCTTGTTACAAGGAACAACAAGGCTAGGGTTGCCAGATGCTCTGGTGGAGGTGGGGGTACCCCACCACCAGGCCTTACACACACACACACCACCACCAAAATCAGCTGGTCAGCAGGGGAGTTACCAGTAGAGAGAGGAAGGTCCATGTGACATCACTGGCAACATGGTGAAGTCACATAGAAAGTGACATCATCATGCCGGTAACATCCAGGCGACAGTCTGGTATTTGGGAGGAAACTCTATAGTAAAAGTAGGGCTGATGACCTCAGACAAAGATTCCACCTGGGCACCTTCATATGACCCTGATCCAAACCATATATTGTAACAAAACAAATCACTTGGCTTGCTATTACCATAAATCTATAGTAAAAAAAAGAATCGGCCTTGTTAGCCAAACTGCCTTATTTCTCAATAATAGCTTGGGGAATTATGAATAGGCATTAACTATGGGACCAATAACCTATATATACAGGAGTTCGATTTTCAAGATCCCAGAAATAGACACTGAGTCTAGATGTACTGAAGCAGTGATTTCTTTACTAATGATTCACACACATACAATATAAAATCAAGCATACAAGCAAATAATACAGATCTAGGAATTCAAATAGAAAAGTAGAGAGACGTTTGCATTAGCAGGAGATATCGTTGGTTGGGTGATACGTTACCTGTCTGATGAGGTAAGTCGACTCTGCAGCAAAAAAGGGATAAACTATGGGAAGGGGTTTTGAGTTGACCAGCAACACATTTGGAAGGTTCCAAACAGCGCTAAGAATGGAACCAGCAAGATAGGGTGGGGTTAGGAAGGTAGAAGGGAGAGAGAGAGAGAGAGAGAGAGAGAGAGAGAGAGAGAGAGAGAGAGAGAGAGAGAGAGAGAGAGCGCGAGAGCTGTGCTAGAGAGAGAGAGAGAGAGAGAGAGAGAGAGAGAGAGAGCGCAATGGCTGGATGCTTTCTTTTTATACCTAAAAAGGTGACCTGAGGCAGATGCCTTGTTTGTCACATAGTCCCCAGGAACATTAAGAAACATAAACTGTTAATGGGTCAGGAAAAAGGGATTAATCGTTGGGCAATTGAAATAATGTTTGGACTAATAGTGACACCTTTCAGGGGGAAGGGTGGAGACAAAGGAGAGAAAAGAAGAGTAATGTCCCGGCCCCATTGCCGGTAGTTGGTCTTAATGACTGGATGTTTAACGGTTGTGTTATCTTTTTTTTTGTGTGTGTGTATAAAGGTTTTATTGACTCTCCTAAAAAGGAGAGGTATTTCGCTTAAAATAGAAAAATTGGGAGGGTATATAGTGGGAGAAAGAGAAAGCTGAGTGATATATTAACTGGTAAATTAAACTGTTAGTAATGTCC